ACTTCTTCAGATGCAAGAAGTGAGTCTTGCATCTGAAGAAGTGAGGTTCTTACCCACGAAAGCTTATGCTCCCAATACTTCTGTTAGTTTCTAAGGTGCCACAGGACCCTCTGTTGATTTATACAGATTCAGACTAACACGGCTACCCCTCTGATACTTGTTCTTAAAATGAACAACATGTGCTGAGTCATCATCTGAGACTGCTATAACATGAAATATATGGCAGAATGCGGATAAAACAACAGGAAACATGCAGTTCTCCCCCAAGGAGTTCTGTCATAAATTTAATAAATGCATTAGTTTTTGAACGAGCGAAGTCAACATGGAAGCATGTCCTCTGGAATGGTGGCCAAAGCACGAAGAGGCATATAAATGTTTAGCATATCTGTCATGTAAATACCTTGTAATGCCAACTACAAAAGTGGCATGTGAATGCCTGTTGTCACTTTCAGGTGACATTGTAAATAAGAAGCTGACAGCATTATCTCCTATAAATGCAAACAAATTTGTTTCTCTTAGTGATTGGCTGAACAAGGATTAGGACTGAGTGGACATGTAGGCTCTAAAGTTTAACAGTGTTTTGTTTTTTAATGCAGTTATGTAACAAAAAAAATCTACGTTTATATGTTGCACTTTCACGATAAAGGGTTTATACTACAGTATTTATATGAGGTGAATTGAAAAATACTATTTCTTTTATCATTTTTACAGTGCAAATATTTGTAATAAAAAATAATAATATAAAGTGAGCACTACATTTTGTATTGTGTTATAATTGAATTAAATATATTTGAAAATGTAGAAAAATATCCAAACATATTTAATACATCTCAATTGGTATTCCACTGTTTTACAGTGCAATTAAAACTGCGATTAATTGCAACTAATTTTTGTAATCATGATTAACTTTTTTGAGTTAATCGCATGAGTTAACAGCGATTAATCGACAGCCCTAGTTCATAGACTCCAAAACGGGAATTGCTGAAATAGGTATCTTTTGAGAAATAAGTTTATGGCCGGATTCTTGTCTTGCGCCAGTATAAATGATTATACAAGGTGCAAAGAGTGCAAAGAGAGGAAAAACTCTGCCAAATCAGAATGGATGAGAAGTTTGGCATAGGAAGTGCACTGTCATCCTGCTCGACTTTAGCTTGAATTCATTAGAAATAGGGTTCAACACTTGTTTAGACATGTCTTAGCCAAGGCAAATATACTATAACAGTGTAATTAGATTTCAGCAATGAAATCACACAGAGATTAACCAAAAGGATTTAGACAGACTTGCCAAATGTCACATATCTCACGTGACACTTACAAATCTCCCTTTGATGTCAAGCTGCGTAGCAGCTGTAATATCATGCACAGCTGCAGGAGAGCAAGACAACAAAGGAAATGCTGCTAGCCCCTTTGGGTTGTTAGGAGTAAGAGTAGCAGCTTCTCCCCCCATGCTGCTCATACACTGTGTCCCTACTTCCTTCCCTCCTAAAAGGGAGCAGTAGTTTGAGAGTCTTCTTCTCACAGCCTAGGCCTTGCTAACCATGACTGAGCCTCCAGAATCTCCAACCACAAGTCAACTTCTGTCAGAAGCTCCACCACTATGCTGCCTGTTCCCTAAACCTCATCCTGTGCCAGCTGCTACCTGGGGGTCTGCCTCTCATGGCTCCAACCCTCAGGATGCTACAGACACAGCAGAAGGAAACTTACATCACCCAGAGGAGGAAAAGGGGGACTGTGCAGATGCAGAGAACACAAGTGCTCATGTTAAAGTCCTCATGATAAAAGGAACCCCAGCCCATCAGTCAACGTCTGTATAAACAAGTTGTTTTCCCTGCCCTTACCTGACCTTGCTTGTAGGCATGATGCATCTCCTGATGATGGAGCTGACTTGCAAATTCTACAATTGCTGATGTGGGTCCCCGAGATGGCTGCCGGAAAAATTGAGATCTTGCTCGTATTGGAGGCATGATCATCCTGAAGGTGAGGGTGGCTAGAGTTCAGATCCTTTCTGAAAATCCAATATGCTGTGCAGCAAAACAGAAAGCAGCATCTGACTACATATTTATCTACATCTTTTGGTGCCTAAATAACTTTGCAATATGGCCCTCCATGTATCCAGCAAGAAACTGACAACTACGGGGAACCTTTGGTGTTATGGAAATTCCCATCCCACCAATCCATTAAGCGTGAAGGGAAACTTTTCACCGGGGGGAAAAAACCAAGTAAATAAGTAGCCCCTAAAAGCTAAGTCTGGCATAGACTGATACATCTACCAGGGGAATAATACTAATGCCTCCTCCACCTCTCTCCCTTCTCTGTTCTATTCACTAAGCTGCAGCCAATGCTACCTTCCTTGCCTGTCATGCTGAATGTAACACTTGTTCCGGATCTGAGCTCCCAACTCCCATCATTTATTTCCTTCTGAATCCTCAACAAGGTTAAACTTCCTCACACTCTACATGGTGCCATCTGTGCTTTCATCTTGGCTCGCTCCACACACACTCTAGTTAGTTTACTTATTTTAATGAAAATGCACCTTTAATGTTTGCATTTCTCATGCAGGTCTCTATAGCTGCAATAGCCTCCCTCCTCTATTACACCAAATAATCTCACTCCTCTCCTTCAAATCCCCACTATGGAGTTTTTGTTCTATCATTCCACCAGTAACAACTCACCCTTGTTCTTGCTTCAGCTCATGTCCCTTTAATTTAGCCTTCCAACACACTGCATGCCAACTCAACTGCATCACCCTTCACTTTGATACTAGACTGCATGCTTTCTTACGTTTTTGAAGTACCCAGCACACCAGTGCTGCTATTATGATTAAACAAAATAAGGAGCCTGAACAATTTAAATTCGCTAACCTTAAAAGTTCTTTTGTTTTATCATCTCCTCTGTCTCTGATCTTTTGTTGTCAGTTCCATGTTGCCTCTGGCCCCATGTCCAAGGTACACCCCTCTCCCCCAATATACCATTCTTCTGTTCCACTTAATTTGCATTGTTTCCCCCCCGATCCCTGTTCTATTCCATTCTATTCTGGCTTCTAATACATCTTTTTCCTATTCTTCCCTACCACCAAGTGCCCAGTCTCTTCCTTTCTCCCTCCCTCCCTAATCACTTTGGGTCTTCCAAATTCCTTCCATACCTCCCTCTTTCCACAAGGTCCCCAATCTTTTCACCGCTATTCCTGAGGTCCCAAGCTGTTCTCCCTGTAAGTTCCTATAATTCTTCCCTTCCCACCACCCTGAGGCTGAAATTGGGTGATAACTTAAATCCATTAAGTGCTGTACTCCATTCCAGAAAGCAAAATTCCTAGAAATATGAAGGGAAACTTTTCACAGGGGGGAAAAAACCCTAGTATGGGACATTCTCTCAGAACAGAAGAGGAAGCATGCAATCTCCTTAATGGGGATAGGCAACCTTCCCCATTTTCTCTCTAGGTGCTGGCCCTTCCACATCTAGAAAACAAACTAGCTACCACCATATACATAGGCACACCCCCATCCTCACCTACAAACATGCTCCATTCTCTACACACACACCACCCTCTGGGTACATTTACACTGCAACGAAAGACCTGTGCAGCTGGCCCTCTTCAGCTGACTAAAGCTCATGTGCCTTAGGCTGCAGGGGTATAAAACTGCTGTGTAGACAGTCGGGCGCAGGCTGGAGCCCAGGCACTGAGACCATGCGAGGTGGTGAGTCGCAGAGCCCAGGCTCCAAATGTCTACACTTCAATTTTATAACCCCGTAGCCTGAGCCGGAGTTAGCTGACCCAGGCCAGCCAAGGTTCTTTTATCGCAGGGCAAATGTACCCTATGACTCATCTGCATTTCTGTCCCTCCCCAAGCCTCCCATTCTTCAATTTCTGCCCCCAGTACTCAAGGTTTCCTTAACTGTCTGCCCTCCTTCTGCTCAGTTCTCCCCCTCATCTATATTTCCCCAGATCTCTGCCAGTCTCTCCAGTTCTCTCCTCCCCTGTCCTACACTAGTTCTCTGCTCTCCTCCCATTTTGTAGCCACCAGTTTTGTCAACCCCTGCCCTTTCCAATTTGATATTAACCTCCCCCAGGCCTCTGCCCAACCT